GCAAGTCATATAACACATTCAAAGCCAAAACAGGACAACGAACCAGAAAAAAAGACTCGAGGAAGTTCCGGCTCCACAGAAATAAATCAATGGAGGCAGTCACAGTGACTCACAAAAAGAAAGACAGATTTGTTGGATCGTAGAAATGCATCATCATCTTACCACTAATGTTAGTTTGGATGTTATGCTTTTGCCCATTTCCATATGGTGTGAGGGGCAGTTAGTGGCAAATCTGAAACTGCACCACCAGTCAGTACCAAACAGGCTCAGAGTTTACATGAAAGCTAAATGTGTACCTTGAGGTATTGGCTACATCTGGTGTTTTTCTTTGTTAAACTGGATGGATGCAAATATAGTATGGACATGCTGCCTTAATGGAGCATGTTAAATGCATTTTCACAGCAGATTGTCGCCCCGCCCTGAACCTGGTTCTGCCAGAGATTTCTTCCTGTTAAAAGGGAGTTTTTCCTTCCCATTGTTGCCACGTTCTTGCTCATCGGGGTCATTTGATTGTTGGACTTGTCTCTGTATTATTATAGGGTCTTTACCTTACAATATAAAGCACCTTGAGGCAACTGCTGTTGTCATTTGGCACTATATAAATACAACTGAATTGAATTTAATCTTTTGTTGCTGAATTCAACTCCAGCTCGGGTCGGGTAATAAATTAGTCACACAGGTGACCACTCCGGAGTAGAGCAGTGTTGCCGTAATTGGACCTGATCTCATTTGCAAATGAAAGACATGGATTGTACAGTAATTCATACAGGCTCAAGTGTAAGCAGGGATTAGAGTGATGTTAAGTGTTTGCCAGGCACCAAAGCTGCAGTAGGCACATTTAGATGGCTGACTAAGTTGGCACCAGGGCACTTTCCCCATGCCAGACTCCAACACTGCAGGTCAGCCCCCGGGAGGCATGACAATACAGATAATCATAATTCACTCATCAAAACGAAGGGAGCTTGATTGCACACTTGAATGGGTTTAATGTCCGCCAGGCAGTAGCCCAGAATGGCTGGGTTTGGCATTCAGTTAGATGTGTCCACTTCTGAGTGTTGTTTCCCTTTTTGTAAAGAGGCCTCAAGGAGATGAGGTGAATTCAGATTAATAATGGCTAAGAAGAAAGGATATATCAGTGTTCAGAGACAGAGAATTGTCTGGGTTATTACCGTAATTGTTTATTCCAAGCTTTTATTTCCCAACCTCTCCATCTCTTATTTTTAGCTGCAAAGCGACTGAGGATGGAGTATTTCCATTCAACAACAAATCTAGGACCTGCTTTTTTCTATTTGTTTGTTTAATTCTGATCTTCCGTCACCCTGGCCTTGAACATTTTATTCAGCAACCAGCCTACTAGTCTAATAAGTGCTCTAACGGTATAGAGAAACCCTTTTGTATGCAGAAAGCTTTTGTAGCTAAATCTTCACATAAGACAGGCACAATTCAGCATAAATACAAAATTCTCCAGAAAACACCAGACCTTCACCCTCTTGGCTCCCATGTTGTGAGAGTCTAGTTGAAAATGATGCATTTTCAGCAACTTAGCTGTGTGGAAATACTGCTACCTGACACAGTCTTAAAGACTTCTTGATAAAGCTTTTAAAAGCTGAGGCTGTCTTTGTGTGAAGATATAAATAAATAAATAAATAAAGTCACGCATAGCAAAGCGAGGCCATGTCTATTCAGTAGAGCTGTCACAGGCACTTAGGGCACCTCTGAGAAGCAGACTGCTAACAGCGTGCCGACAGGGGGTAAGCGCAGCACGAGGGCTACCAGCGACATCATCCACACTTTAGCTCCGGGCCACAGTGCATAGGGGTCAGCCACGTTAGGCTAAGTGAGTGCTCGGTGGTTGGATAGGGTCTGTTCCATTTGATCACACAGCCAATCTAACTTGGGAAAGCTCAGCTGACTGAACCCTTAGCAGCAGGAAGCAGAGGACAAGGTGAGGGGCAGTATTGTTCAGAGCTTAATGTGCTTCCCATTTGAGTGGCGATGATCAAATCTGCTGGTGCCGCAAGAGCATTCTGAACAAACTCCATTTTAAGTGTGAGTCAAACACGCACGACTAAAGAGCCAGGGAAAAAAAAGACTTGGCTCAAATGCAGAATTCCTGAATATTTGAATTATACAATAACGCAAAAAATTATCTCTGATCTACTCCACACAATAGGTCTATTCACCACAATGGCCTTGCACTCCTTTCTGCTTTACATTTTTTTAACAAAACAAACAAATCAGACAGCTTATGCATTTGGAATCCTTCGTCCTCACCAGTAACACAAACAAAGATTTATTTTAGGATGTGAGCAAGGTTGCCTGTTGCAAAAGGATTTTTAAAAAATGTGCTAGAAGTGATTTGAAAGGCTCCAGAAGTTGAAGGATAGAAAGAAGATGAACTGAAAAGATAAATGGAAAAAGACAATAATCAACTAGAGAAGAGAAAGAGGCAATTAAATTAGGAGGCAGTATTCAAGCAAATTAACAAATGAAGGGGAAAAAAAGAAAAAGGATGTGGAGCGTTATTGCTCATCAGGTTTGAAAGCTCACTCGATGAAGCATTCAGCCTCTATCAATCACCTCATTTTTGACTAAATTCATTAAGAAAAAAAAAAAGCAGAAGTACCCGTCAGTCTCCGCAGCTAAGCATTACCAAAGCGCTGGATGAAAGACATTTTTACAATGCTTCTACAAGGATCACAGCAATTCGCATGAATGATTACAAGGCCCTGAAACACAATTACTATTCAAGCAAGCCCTGTATGATTCAGTGTGCCTGGTTATACTGCACATGTTTACCTTGTTTGTTTTTGTGTAAGTGTGTGCAGCATGATCAGTGCTAGTACTGCGGATAATTAGCAAAGAACGAGATGCTTAATATCACATCAATGAAACATCACTGCTATTCTTACTGTTACTAGTATTACTGTATCTTTTAGCATAAGCATTGCTTCCATAGTTAACCATCATTGTTGATGATGTTAATTAAACTAGCCTTTTTATGTTACAAACAATGATATAATTATTAGCAATGTTTAATAATCATAAATAATTACATTTCTTTGTCATATTTCATGGAGCATAAAGTATTGAATTTATCAACAGTATATTATGCATCGCATCAGGACCCTGTGATGGTGCTGCTGACCTGCCCAGGATGTATCCTGCTCCTCGCCATATGAGAGATCCAGCTGTCCCAGAACCCTGAACTGAATAAGTAGTTAGGAAAATGATGGACAAATGGATGGAATTGCATCATAGAGGTAGAAATAATTACACTAAACCGCAATATGTATTTCTTAATGATGAGGAAATTTTATTTTTATTTTGTGATAAAGTTTTTGGGGGGGTTTTTTTACCAATCAGTAAACTTGTCCTCAGTCGCAACATCAAAAAGTCCATACTGCTGTTTTGTTGAAGTGCCTGGTCTATCAGAGATACACACAATGGTGCTCTTATCACTTATTACATCATCTCATCACATATGGACACTTGGCCAGGACCTATTTTGTTTTTCACATTTTAACACACTGGGAGTTTCATTTTTCAACATGCAAGACTATTGTTGTGAAAGCAAGACTAACTCAGATCCTGATCTTGAAAATGTACGTCAGCAGTCCTGGTGTTTAAACCAATCCAAACACTGAGAGAAAGCAAACGAGTAACAAAGCTACACAGTTCATGAACAGGAAGTGGACTGTGAGCTCCAGGATCCGTCTTGTAAGTTTCATCACACCAACTGCATACTTTAAACATCTTTTTAGACATGCCTTTCATCATGATACTAGTCATCCCAATGTTTTTACAGATGAACTGCACAGTAGTAAACAACCATGTATAAAGTTTAAAAAGCATCAGTTTCACCTTTACAAGATAGTTTCCAAACCAATTATTGTCAATCAATCACCATTTCATTTATTGCTAACTAAAAAACATTGTAAATAATTTATCATTTAATCATGCTATTATTAGCTGTCGCCCTGAATCACTCATCTGTAGTAAAAGGTCTCTTTGTATACTACTAATATAAGATCAAACAGACTTCACTTTTTTTTAATATTGTTATATTTCTCTAAGCTGAAAAGGGCTGGAAGTGGTTGCAATCAAACATACAAAAACACTTCAAGAGGGGCCAAGAGCCACTTGATCACAATATCAAGAATATCGGCTTTAGAATGCGGCATACCATGCTCATATTCCTCTCATGCAAGGGATATGAAAAGTAATTAAGAGGAAATAAGGGGAACCTAAACAAACTCAATGAAGACCTATGTTTACTGAAAGTGATTACTTCAGTCTGTTGTGTTGCTGCACAATCACTACATGCAGTAAACAGGAAAATAAGTTAGAAAACTTCAAAACTAATTAAAAATGGCCAACGTCATTGTACAGTAAGCAAGGCCGGGTATTGTTGATCAGAAGCATACATGTGGTTCTGAAAAAAGAGCCATATTTAAAGGTGGGCACCTAGCATTTTTATCCACTTGTGTCCTCTTTGATTTGAAAGGAAGGTGTCACAACACTTTTGAAAACACACACTCACAGATGTGTGTGTGTGTGTGTGTGCGTGCGCGCGTGCATGCGTGCGTGTGCGTTTGTTTTTCTTTTAAACCAGTTTCCCTACTGAATATGAGAGGCAAAGCTTCCTGTCTTGGAGCTTAAGACACCGTGGCCTGTATAACGCCTCAGGCCATCCAATTCTGGCCCATTTTACTGTATCAATAACAAAGTGAAACCTCTAAATGAGAGAGATCAAGCACTCCTCTGATATTATCGCGATTACTATGTGCACATAATAGTAAAGAGGGGTGTTAGATGGTTTTAGATCTGGTTTGCTTTGGGGAGGAAAAGGGCAAGCTGAGGCACGCTGGGAGACTTCAACCCTTTCCCGCGTTGGAGGTGTAGATCAGAGGAGCAGCGGAGAAAGGGAAACCTGTGTTTTCACTGATTGATACTGTGATCTAACGAGTGAGGGATCTGTCAGTTGTAATTTTAGACGTTCAAAGATCTTCTGGAGAGGAAGTTTTCAGAAAAAAAGAGAACAAAATGGTGAGCAAAGGTTGTTGTTGCTTTATGTGGAAGGGAAACTGAGTAAAAACTGCATCACTTCTGTGAAAAGCTAGAATGAAGACGCAGCCCTGTGTTGCTGCGGTGTGTTAATGTATCACTGTGATATATTCACTCATCTAGATAGCTCTTAACCCTGCAACAAATGAGGACCTTTGCTACAGTTTTAAAATCTATATTAATGGAAGACAAACAGTTCACCAATTGTAGGACTAGAAAATGGACAATATGGAAAATGTGTTTGAAATAAATAAATAAATGTTCCACTATGTGTTTAGACCATTTCTCTAACTCATTTAAGCTACTAAAACTCCCCCGAAGCCCTTCAGGTGAAACCAAAAAACCCACCCAAAGCAGTGCTGTTTCTTAGATGTATAAAGTTATCTTCAAGTTAGCTAAACTGAATGTTTATAAGTGGAAGAGCAGTGTTACTCCACAGCCTGCAGCTTCGAATAAAAGGCTAGGCTGAAATGTAAAGATTCAGGTCCACTGTTGATAAAACATACACACACACATAAACACACATATACACTGAAGACCTTTTTCTTACCGTCCTGCTCTGTCTTGGTCAGCTCCACGAGCTTCTTCTGTTTCAGTGTGTCCACCACGTCTGCCAGGCTCCCTTTGCGGCGCTCTGGTGTCCCAAAGGCGAGGCCAATCACAGGCTCCCCGCGATCCCTTGGACACTCCTCTGGCTTGGTTGGAGAGGTAGAGGTAGTCCGGTAAGAGTAGACTGAGCCACCTTTACTGCTTTCATTGTCCTTGGAAGAAATAGAAAATGAGAGTTCAAACCCACGAGCCATAGAAAGTAATTAAGTACTGCATATCTGTGAGAGAGCATTTCAATTCATGCAACAGTTTATTTTTAACACAGCTCAGACAAATGCATCCCAAAGCTCTTTAATGTATCCCTGTAGTACTATTTGGGAGTGAGCCTGTACTTTATTTGCTCTACTGCGCTTTGCCTGGGCACGGGTCAGCTGGGGCTACATGCCAAATATCAGGCTTAGGATTGCATTTTGCAACTGACAGAACATGACGAGCACAGTACTTGATCTATCTGTCATCAAAAACAACATGGTGATACTCCATTACATATCTTTATACTGCCAGGGTCACGTGTGTATAATCCACTGAGACACACTGTGAGAAGGCCAAGCCTGGCAAGTCTTTTTTCAGTTGAGGGTGCTTACACGTAAGGAGCAGCATGACCGCAGAGACATGCAATCTGGTGCTGGTGGAAGTGGATTTGTGGAATAATTTAAAGCCAGTAAAGTGTTATACTAGTCTGAGAAAAACCTTGATTTATGTCTTTAGTAGATTCATAATATATTCATTAATTACACATCGAGGTTTAACCCTACAGTCATACACAGACATCTCGGGTGATGCATATGATTTTTATATACCTCTCTTTAGAATAAAAATTAATTCCTGTTTTGGTCAAGGTGACAAAAATCAGACCTTTTGATAATGAATAGAATAGAATAGAATAGAATAGAATAGAATAGAATAGATCTTTATTGTAATTGTACATGTACAATAACATGATGGGTGCTGGACATCAAATGTGCAGGAATAAAACATAAAAAGTAAGTCACCAGGAATAAATAATAATCAGGAGAGTTGGTCTGAGCATACAGTTCATGTGTGAGTGGCCTGAGTGATGGGGTGATTGGTGAGGTGGGTGGGCAGGGGTGGGGTGTGAGGGGGATAGTGTTTATTGACAGTCCGAATGGTTTCAGGGGAAGAAGCTGTTTGTGAGTCTGGAAATGTGGGACCTGATTGAATTGAGGTGCCGACCAGAGGGCAGCGGGTCAAAGAGGTCGTGGCCAGGGTGCAGGGCCCTGGTTTTCCTGAGACAGGAGGAGCTGGCGATGGCCTCCAGGGGTGGCAGAGGACAGCCAATTATTTTTTTGGGTGGTGTTGATTACCCTCTGAGAAGGCTTCCTGTTCTTAGTAGTGGCCCCTGCATACCCAGCACCAGTAGGAGAGCACACGCTCCACTGAAGACCAGTAGAAGGCCAGCAGCAGCTTCTGGTCCAGGTTATTCTTCCTCAGGACACAGAGGAAGCGCAGCCACTGTTGGGCCTACTTTACCATTGTGGTGTCATCGACATACTTGACGCTGGTTGGGTAGGTTGGTGTACAGTCATATGTATGCAGGGGGGACCTTTAGGTGGTCCAGTTTGGTAGTGAGGATGTCTGGTATTATGTTGTTGAACACATAACTGTAGTCCACAAAGCGCATCCTCATCTAGCTCTTCCTGTTCTCCAGATAGCTCAGTGCTCTGTGAAGGGTGATGGTGATGGCATCCTTCGTGGAGCACAGGGGATGCGAGGAAGGGGTGGCCTCAAACTGAGCAAAGGTGTTGAACTCCTTTGCAAATTTGAGGCTGCTGTCAGGGGGTTGGGGACTCTGGCCTTTGTAGTTGTTGAGGGCATGGATGCCTCTCCACACTTGGAGGAAGCCCTCTATCCTCCTCCTGTAGGCCTTCTTGACCTGTTTGATGTCCCTCCTGTCCAGTGTCACATTCTCTACATAGCACTTAATGTAGAAAGGGACAGACTGAGTGAAGGTCTCTAGGTCCTGCTGGTCTAAGATTGACCATGGACCAGATCAAAACAGTCCCGTAGCTGGAGAAGAGCATCATCTGGCAATGTTTTAATGACCTGGGTGCTTGGAGGAGTTTGTTTCCTGAGGGGGATGTAGGCAGGGGTGCGGAGCAGAGAGAGGTGGTCAGACTGTCCTAGGCTGTCACTCTGTAGCCATGCTTGATATTACTGTACACATGGTCCAGTGTACTGTCCTCCCTGGTAGGACACTTAACATTTTGGTGGAATTTGGAGAGCACAGATTTCAAACATGCCTTATTGAAGTCCCCAGCAACAATATGGACGCCCTCTGGGTGCTCTCTCTGCTGTTTACTGATAATAAGTCAGAGGTGAGTGCTGAGCTAACGCTATCTGATGGGTTTTTGTCGTTTATGGTGCATGACCCCAGCGTGTGTGTCCCACTGTTGTCTGCTCTGCAGGGTTATGAGTTAAGCAAGAGGCACAAGGAGTCTATAATTATCTAAAGATAAGCCCTTCAGGATGACCACATTGTCCCACACAACATCCGACACTTTAGCACAGGTGCTCTAACACTGGGGTTATTTCTGGATACTTTCTCCTCCCCTTACAGAGTGGGGGGATCTCCAAGAACTTTAGGAGGCTTATGTTTCAAAGACAAGGGGCTTTGGCTAACAGCGGGATCTTAAGATGCCCTTGAAATGGCTCCAGGAGGCTCTGTTGTGCACTTTGTCTTTAAGCGGAAGATGCCTCTGTAATGAGGATTACGAGATACTGTGTCACTCACGGATTGTTCAGGTGTGTTGGCTTTTTTTCCAGGTCTGCTCAAGAGTTATACAAGCAGGGTGGTGCAAGCTGTAATGTTTGATTCTCAGATCAGAAACTTGAATCACAAAGTTTCGTTTTAAGTTGACCCTCACTGTTGGAGGCTGGTGAGGCAATGAAGCGAAGAAGGATTGTTTAGCCTTCTCTGTCCACAGCACGGGGACCTCCCATGTTTCACTGGCCAGTGGCTGTTTTGGGCAGTGTTGCAGCTTTACCTTATGACTTTTTACAGTTTGAAACATTGCACTTTGTTTTTTTCTGACCCACCAATACCTGTCCTCTTTCTGAACACTTGAAAAGATTATTTTGTTATAGGTTCTCACCAGTGTCCTGTGCTGGTCCATGAGGGACAATGGTCACACATGTGAGTGTGTAAGTTGGAGATAAAAATAGAGAGAAAAAAGGAAAAAATATAGAGTGAAAATTCAAATATTCATGAAAAATTTTGCCTTCAGGCAACTTTGAAGTCTGATACCAATGTTAAGTCAGGTTTTTGAATACTGTTATCAATGAATTACTGCATTTACAGCTCTTATTATGCACTGGGTATGGGTCAGTATAACTGAGTAACAATTTCAAAACATCTAAAGAGCCAAAATCATGGTTCAGTAACACAAGTAATTTTTAAAAAAAATGGGACATTTTTCACCAAAATATTCAACTCTACCACAACAATGATACCAAAGGAAACTTTCCCCTTTCCTCAGAGGGTGAAGCCAAACACATTTTGTCCATTAGGGACTCACAGAACCTGAAGCCAAGTAGCTAACACCTTAACAGACACACTCAAACACACATACAAACACACACACACCAAAGCAGGCTGTGGAGATGAGAGGAGGCCAGGGGTATAACTCTCTAAACGAGATCCCTCACTGGGCTGCCTACAGCGCTGCCTGTAGCACACAGGTCAGAAAGAACTACCGGTGCATGCGTGCGTGTCTGTGTGTGTGTCCACTACACCTTGTGCTCACTCAATAGTGCAAAAATATCATTATGCATGAGAATTTGCACACCCTATGTATTCCTGCATATATTCTCACAGGTGTTTTATGATTTGTGAGCCCCGAGTGTGTACTCTGTGCACACACACACATTTGTGTGAATCTGAGTTATAGTAATATGGTCAGTTTCTAAGCTCTTGGCCTAATTCACTTCTCACCATCACAGCAGGACTGACACTCTCCCACTCAGCGTCTGTTGGTTTCTCTCTGATTGGCTGCAGTTCATCTGGGTGGGACTGGTCATGCAAAGAAGGCGACACCGTCTCCTTTGGGCCGTCGTGCTCATCACCAACCCAGCCTGCACTGTCCTGACCAATCACTTCTGCTTCCTCGGGCGGTGGATGAAAGGGAGGCGTTGCTCGCATGGAAGACATCATTCTGGGAAGGGAAAAAAAATTAAGGGTTTAACTTTGGTTTATGAACTACAGTTATGTCTACCAGGATGGATGCTCACTGAAGTGACACATGAACAGCTGCCGACTAGTGCTGCTGTTCTCACAACGATAAAGACTAAAAGATATTTGTCACCAGCCAGACTAAAGCCAAAACCTTCCTGGAAACCATGATGCATTTTCTGTGGAAAACTGCAAACAATGACACACCAGCACGCGAAAATAGAGCAATGCTCCAAAACAAAAGACACAAAGTTTGGTTACATTTTGTTTTGACAGACATTCTTTTCATAACAATATTATCACAACTGGACTCTTCTTAAGTGCTGGAGGTTAGTTAGTGTAAATTTGCAGTATCATCAGTATCAAACTGTGCCAAAAATGCAGTTTTCTACTTTTAGTGTGTTAAATAATTTTAGATTTTTTTTTCCACCACTGACTGCACTAAAAAAGCCACAAAACACTGTTGGATGATTTCACAACCATGCATTTGAATCGATAATTCAAAGCCACAACTTTATTTAAATGCAGAGACATGAATGTGAAACATGTAATTATGGTTTAGTCACACACAAACAATTTAAAGTACATATCATATTTTTGGTATTTACTCAGGCACTCATGCAGCGCGACTCACATGTTTTCATACTGAATGTACATCAAGCGTGCAAACACACACAAATCCACTCTCGTGGGGATAATCTATTAATCTATTATGCAGCATCAAGGCCTCTCATCACCTCGGAGCTGTTACAAAAGCAGACGCTATAGTATGCAGAGTTTAAGTGGAAAAAATCTCACTTTTTTCTAATATAAATCTCAGACTGAGTCGCCAGGCTAATGCTTCATTTTCTGTAATGATTTCCTTTCATTTGACTGTACTTGTGAGGACATTTGCTGACCACAGCTAAACCCTGCCTTCCTACGGGTTTAGACGAAAGGAGGTCTAATCTAAACACGGGCTCACTTGTCCTCAACATATATACGAGTACACACAAACGCAAATACACTAAATACATAAACAATTCTACATTAATAAACACAAATCTAAGCTAAACTGTTAGGTGACAACTGATGGATCAGCCTGCTCTGAGCTGCTTTTGCTGTGATTACTATAGCCGGTGCCACCCACCCTTCCACATACATGCACGCAAATGCATACGCACAGCTTCAGTGAAAAACTGATTACTACTTCAGCATCGGCTGCTCAGTAAGTCAGAGCAGGCTGTCTCTCTGATATACGCAGCCTCCTGGGTGCTCTTAAGTGTTACATCTGACCCTCAGTCAAATGTCTGAAAGGGCAGAGCGGGGGTGCAGTCTGAATGCATGAGGAGGGAGAAGAAGATGAAAAAGTATTTAATAGATAGAAGCAGTTAATAAAGAGTGAAATGAATCGAGGGAGCAAAAAAAAGAAAAAAGAAAAATGCAAAGACCGGAAAAAGGATGGAGAGGACAGGAATGGGAAGCTCAGTTCCAGCGCAGGTCCAGACTGATTATTTGAGAACTGTTGTGCGTCCATTTGTGTGTACAGTATAGCTGAGTGATTTGCTCAGTGAATGCGAGGGCCGTAATGTTCAGTGCATGTTGTCTCTTACTACCTCTGGTGGAACGCAGCTTCCACCGACTCTGCGATGCAGGAAAAATTAGAGGAGGGTGGATAGTGGCATGCTGTGAAAAGTGAGACCTGAAAACGTTAACAACCATTAATAGTCCATGATAGTCCTATAGACTGAAAACCATCAGAAATACAATGTAACTAATTCTACTGAGAAATTCTATACCTGTTCTCATTTATGTTCCCTTTTTCTTGTTACTTTTTACTTTACTGAACCCTATTATTGCAGTTTTTACTCAAGTACTGAAATGCAGTTTATTTGATGCATGTAGGTTAATCCAGATGATATATATGTGTGTGTGTATTTTTTTTCAAGCTTTCAAACCCAATTTTAAGTAAGTCTGACGAGCCTTCTTTACAAGTTATCCAAGTTTCAAAGTACAGGTTTTTATTAATTTTCACAACTGGCCAGCAGTGCCATCCATTCACAGCCAGATTTAAATTTAGTAGAATAGTGCAGGGTTTGAATTTCTCAGGCCTTCGTTGTATTACACAGCGATATGAGTGTAAGAGCCCAGACAACCAACAAACAGCAAACCATAATCCACGATCAACTCAGGTTATCCAAACTAGAGCGATGAGAGAGCGATGGGCAACTGGGGAGGGAGAATACACAAGACAGCCTATATTTAGCTGACAATATTGCTGGTGCTGTGTTTATGAGGGAGCTTAAGACTTAGTTTCTTGGAACTGGTGTCTCATATGGCCAGGAATGCCCAGACTCTTAACTGCCAGTGATTGGGTTTCTCCATGCAACAGTACAGGGGTTTATTGGTAAACATGGCAAGCAGGTCTTTTGTGATTAGAGCAAGAAAACGGTGTAGTTCATGACCTGATCATTAGACAGAGTAGCATGCTATACCAAAAAAAAAATGCTGATTACTTTAGCGCATGATAGAAATGTCGCTGATTTTTTACATTTTTTACATTACCTTCTAAAGCTACACTATGAAACTATGAACACATTTTTATATTTGCAAAAAAACATCACAGTGAAAGAAAAGTGTTGAATAATGAAGCCAGAATGGAAAAAAAAAACATGTGATCATTTTTCTTTGTGTCACTGTTTTCTAAAGACTATAAGAGACTTAGTGAGTTAGGTGTATTTTTTAGGCATGTTAGACCGCTGGACATGATAGTATATGTTAAAAATCAATTATGCTCTATAACTAATAACTAATCCTTGTTGTCTTTGAGCTGTGTGGTCATAGTCGTCTGAGATTCTCAAAAAATATGAAACTGCACATTTATGTGTCCTAATTTAAAGAAGAAGCTTTTTTTTTTGGTCTCGACACGACTCATTAACAAAATGTCGCCTGACATGTAGGCAGAAACTGAGTTATTATGGCTGAAAAGAAACAACCTTCCCCCAGTGAGACGGACAAAAAAGAAAGTCTTCCTATGCTGAGGCCCTCTCAGGAAACACTAATGTGATGGTAATGTTACACCAGTACCTGAAAAACAAATTCATTTTCACAGGCATCACTCCGAGGCTCTCCCAAAGCCTTTTCATATTGTCAGATATCTAGAAAAACATCAAGACTTTCCCCTGGAAACGGTTCTCCTGCCTAAGATGTTTCTTGGAAAGTGATACTGGTTAGATTGCCTGTTTGATAACTGAACAGAGCATGCACTGTTGAATGAGAAGTCTTAATTGTTCATCCACGTGCATTTATAGTTTTTCTGCTTTGTTTTCCTTGTTTGCTTTAGTTGTTGTTTTTGTTTTTTAATGTGACTCCAGGAATCCAACAAGCTGTTAATAGCATCATTATTAAATCTATGTAATAAGCACATTTTTCACCTACTGTCTTTAATAATCACAATAAATGTATGCCCAGCAATTTTTCCTTTTTGGTTTATGGTCCTTTCTTTCCTTTGCTGTCGATGGAAATTTTTACAACCTTTAGCTCTCAAACGCACTCAGCAAATAAAGTGCTGGTGGTGGACAGCTATCTAAGTCTCCTTCCAAAACGTGGACAGTAACTTAGAATCCCTTTGTGTGTGGAAGAAAAACGAAAACCAGGGTCGGTATTTGGCAAGAAAGCGTTGTTCAGATCTGGCCTGGAACCTGGCGACTTGGCAGAAACAATCAGGCATTGTGGAGCATGGACGGAGAGGGACCTGTGACAGATGAGAGCGGGAGAGAGAGGGCCCCCTCTTAGAAAAACAGTACACAAAGCGCCATTCAGAACCCAGGTCCCTTCTGCCACTTGTGGAGCTGGAGAAGGGCTCCGACAAAGGCCCCCAACTCAACCAATTGGGTGTAAAATCTCCAGCCGTCCCAGCTTTACAGAACTAAGGAAGTGGGAAATACCAAAGAGACAGAGAATAAGAAGAAAGGGAGAAAAAAATCAGGAGAAAGAAAATAAGGACTTTCTTGGAATTGTTTGTCTTTTGGATAGGCCCAACAAGAAAATAAGGTGAAAGAGACCAAACCGAAGATTTTAAATGGAACACTGAGGCCCTTCTCCGAGACTTTCTCTGCAAGAAAGATGACATTATCAATGGCATTCTCACAATACCATTTTGCAGGTTTTCTCAATCATGTCTACACATTATATGCCACTTTTAAACTCAACAAAGTAACACAGGGAGACGTTTGCAGAAAAAAGTGCTTGATGCTAAGAGCAGAGCAGTGGGCTAGTTTAGCCATGATGTTTAGCATTTTATTGGAGCATTAAACCACACTGCCACTGTCATTAAAAGTTCTCCATTACGCATGGAAAACTGTAGAAGCCATGCATTTCAAGTTTCTCAAAAGTTGTACATTATGACTGGTGTTTACAACAATAAATACAAGAACACAACAAAGCCTCACAAAACACACCAGAAGTGTTTTGGAGGAGACGTTAATGGGACAGAAACTAAAGCATATCAGTAATGTGTGTTTCGTATAAGACTGTAGATACATGTTTTTTATCAGCCGTTTACTGTTAGTTTGTCATTTCTGCAACTTTTTCGTCACATTTTTGTCTCTCCAGAAACACTTGGGTCGTATTTCGTGAGGTTTTTGTGCACTTGTGCAGCGTTTTTTCCTATTTTCTGATGTTTTCTTAAGTTCCAGTTTCTTTGATCTGGCATACGTCAACATGAAATTCTGCATTGGCTTTCCAATAGAACATTCTCATAATGAAATTAAAAGTAGATGTGATATAAAATGAGCTGATATGAACCAGAAATATTTCTTAAAATTCATGAACAACAAACAATATCCAAACATACTTGATTTTGTTCGTTCGCTTTGTTGAAAACGTAAGGAATTGTTTAGTGACCATCAATGAGGTTCATTGAGAATTCACAGGTGTGAATGGGTGATGTGGTTTCTTTCAATGGATAAATAAAGAAAAAGAGGGAGAACTGGACTTGATGAG